AATTTCTTATTTTCCCTTGTTTTCTTATTATTATTAATTTTTTTTTTTTTTTTTTTTTGAGCAGCGTATATATTGTTGGGTAAAATTAACAAAGTTATACTCCAAGGATGGTTCTAACATTTGATTGAATTAAGTACTTATTTAGTAGAAGATTGACACCATGACTGTTGTTCATTTAACCTGTGTGTTCACTTTGTTTGTGCATAACTATTCTATCATATTAGAAAAGGAATAGTTACGATTATATTTTAGAAATACATAAGTCCACATACGTGCATGTCACAGATATGTTTATGAAGTTACTATTCCCCACATTATATGTTCACTAACATGAGAAAATAAGTTACTGTATGCATACTGAAAACTCTGTGTGATATTACTGGTTCATGAGATTAAAAGTGTGGTGCACTGAGTAGCTCTCCAAGGTCTCATCATCCCACAGGATTCCATTAGATTTGTTGCCTTTTCTCCACAGAGCTCATTATTCCCTCTGAACTTTGAAGCCAGGGGAGTTAGGGTTTGATAAGATACTAAGATTCACACCAAGGTTATAATCAGATTTTGGCCTAGAAGAAACAGTTGCCTGGTAACATGGCTAATTTCATATACACACACAGGCAGTGTCAGATCTTCCTCCCTCTCTAGGAAAACTGTCTTCCCACATTGGAGCAGGAGGGACCTGGATGGATGGACCAATGGGACAGCACGAGAGGCACCAGATGAACCTACCTTTTCACCTGTCAAAATTGTATCAGACATTGGGTTTCAGGCAGGTAGGCGTTCCCTCTCGTCCTGAAGGCGAGTTGAACGGTTTTGCTGTTTAGGATCAGGGCTTCAGATAGATACGGAACCCAGAGCTCTGTAAATTGCTTTATTTGATAGTCTATTCAATTGTGATAATAAATGTTTAAAATTGATACTTGACTGATCATTCTTCATAAAAGAACGCGCTGCAATTTATATCTCAGCGGATCTATATGTACAATATTTACAGGTATTGCACTGCATAGTCCAGTCATACTGTCGTGGGGTAAGTGTTCATCAGCGTGATGGCCCAGGGAAAGAAACTGTCCTTGTGCCTGGTGGTCGTGGCGCACAGTGACCTGTAGCGCCGTCCAGAGGGGAGGAGTTCAGTTATATGGTATTTGAAACATTTTATAAACTGTTAAATGTTATTTCTATTAAATTAAACCAGTTCACATTCAGTTCAGTTGTTATTGACTATTATAATCTGTAAATATAAACTACACTTGTTAATTATCTGATTGTTCCATTCTCTTTTAGGCTGTTTTTCCAAACATTTAAAATTATTTTTAACTAATTCAAAACATCCAGTCAGACTCAAGGCAAGACATAATACTGAAAATAGCTTGTATACTATTCAGATGTCAGAGGGCTGGAATAGATATTAGGCTAGTTTGGATACTAGCACATATTGGGGTGGAGAGAAATGAATTAGCAGATGAATTTGCAAAAGCTGCACAAAAAAACTGTGTGTGGAAGTAAGCTATAGTAAGGCTGGGATTAAAAGAAAGAGAAATGGCAAGAACTGTGGGATAAAGATGGCAAAGGTCGGTTCTATAATAACATTCAAAGGAGAAATGAGAGGACATACTGGAAATAGGAAGGATGAAGATATGGTACCAAGATTGAGATTTGGGCATACTGGTTTAAATAATACATTGAAGTTAATCAAGAAACACACTACAGGGGCATGTGAGATGTGTAGAGTACAAGAAGCAGTGGAACATGTTCTAATGAGGTGTCCCAGGGCTCAGGGACACTTAGGCATGCGGGGAGACCGGGAGTCGAACCACCAACTTGCTGGTTAGAAGACGACTGCCCTACCTCGTAAGCCACAGCCACCCAATGGATATTCAATAACCCGTATTGAATTATACAATTTAGGTAAAATGGCTTTCATTCTAAACTCAGCACTTGACAATTGTAGTTTTTAATGTTTTCTACAAGATTATGTGATTTGTCCATTTTTGGCCAAGACAGCAATTTCATGTAATATTCTTAGTTTCCACTAGGGTGTGTGATGGCTCCAATGGAGCCAATGAATGACACAATTTTGGCATAGGTGTGATGTCGGATAATGATTTGTTTGTGTATGAAAAAAAATTGTGCCTCCACGTGAAATTGCAGCACAAACATGTATTTGCAAGATAGAGTGAAATAAATTATGATGTATCATACCTCTAAGTTGCAGTGAATTTCTGTTGATGCAGGCTATTATGCTTTGAGTTTCCCAGGCAAACTTGGCTTTGATGCACATGTTGAAAAAAAAATCAAAGGACATCTTGCAGAGGTCAAAGATGCAGCTGCAGGAGAAACAAAAACAAACTCTGGCACTGTTTATAAATATGTGAATCTATAAACCTGCCTTCACTCCTACACCCACACAGAACTTATCGCAATAGCTTTTTTTGGCCAAGTATGTTTAAACACAAGGAGTTTGTCAAGGAGTGGTGTCAGTTGTTGGACAGCTGAGTGGACCCGGCTCTCAGAGGTGACTTACACCACAAGCCAGACGGACCAGCCACTGCTTAACCTAAGCAGACACAATGCCGGTGCTGC